CTTTCAGGTTGCAGAGGACTTCTCACTGTGTCTCACATGGTGGAAAGAGAGGGAGCTAGCACTAATCTCATTTATGAGAGCTCCACTTTCATGACCTAATTACCTCCCAGAGGTCCCACCTCCAAATCTCCAAATACCATCACATTGGGATTAGGGTTTTCTTTTCTTTTTTTCTTTTTTTTTTTTTTTTTGGAGACAAAGTCTCGCTCTGTCTCCCAGGCTGGTGTGCAGTGGTTCTGGTGATTCTCCTGTTTTAGCCTCCTGAGTAATTAGAATTACCACCATGCCCAGCTATTTTTGTATTTTTAGCAGACAGGGTTTTACCATGTTGGCCAGGCTGGTCTTGAACTCCTGACCTTAAGCAATCCATCCCCTTCGTCCTCCCAAAGTGCTGGAATTAGAGGCATGAGCCACTGCGCCCAGCGGAAGATTAGAGTTTTAACATATGAACTAAGGGGGTTACCAATATTCTGTCCACAACAGATACTGTCTTGTTGACAAGTGTCATTGAACAGACAACCTTTTATAAACCTGTTTTGTGACTAGCCATCTTGAGGGCTGAATGGGTTGTGAAAGAACAGCAAAAACCAAAGCCCCTCTACTTAAGCAGCACACAATTTCATAGTCAGGAAGCTAAGACAGACATGGAACAATGGGCGCCATGTCGAGTGGCCAGTGCGGGCCATGAGTGGTTTGGGAACGCCAAATTGGAGGTGAGGGAGAAGGGCTATGGGAGGCAAGTGTGATTGGGGGAGCTGCCTGGTAGAGTGCGGTTCCTACTGTTGCTATGACAAATTAGCACAAACTCAGTGACTTAAAACAACACAAATTTATTCTCATATAGCCCTGGAAGTCATAATTCCACACCATTCTTACCAGACTAAGATCAACATGTTGGAAGAGCTGTGCTGCTTCTGGACATTCTAGGGAAGAATCCATTCCTTTACTTTTCCAGCTTCTAGAGGTCTCTCTCATTTCTTTGGCTCACAGCCTCCACCCCATCTTCAAAGCCAGCAAAGGCAGGCCAGTTCCTTCTCATGCTGCAGTCTGTCTGGCTCAGTGCAGCTGGGGAAGGTGGCCCTCTCTAAAGCACCTTTGTGGTGACATGAGGCCACATGGATAAGGCAGGAAAAATTCCCCATCTCAAGGTCCTTAACCTTAATCACATTTTCAAGGTCCCTCTTGCCACACAAGATGACATATTCGTAGGTTCCAAGGTTTAGGATATGAACATTTTTGGGGTGGAGGAGCCTGATTCTGCCTGTCACACTGCCCTTGAGCTGGTCCTGGAGGGGGTCGCTGGCTCCTCTCTTAGGAGAGCATTCATTTTGAGGGTGTAGCCTGCATTGGAGCTGGGAGGTGAGGACAAACATGTGTGGACTCCAGCCTGTGTATGTTGGGGAGCAGTGCACTGGGCAAGGTAGGTGAGAGGGCCAGAGGGCACAGAGCTTGTCAATGTTAGGTGGAGAACTTGAATTTGGCCCAAGAGACTGTGGGGCACCATCAAGGCATCTTCAGAAGGAGAACAACAGGATACATTTGCCTTGGGGACAGTAATTCTGGGAGCATCCAGTGTCTTCAAGGATGCAGGAAGGATAAAAGGCATTCAGGAGAATTGATGGAGTAACCCAGAGGAGGCAGATGGTGCCTGGTAGAGCAGGTGATGGTGGGAAGGTGTCACACATCAGACTCCCAAAGGTGACACCTAGTGAGCGCTCACTAAAGAGTAAATACATGAATGGTAGCATGCAACTCCAATGACATTTCTTGAGTTTGTTGAAAATCTCAGACTGCATTTAATATACCTAAATGATCTAAGTAGAATTTCTCACTTTTTTCTTTGTCATTGTTTTATATATAGCTTTTTTTGGCCACATATTTGTCATTATGCAGTATTTATGTATTTTATTTTTTAGAGACAAGGTCTTACTCTTTTGTCCAGGCTGGAGTGCAGTGGCGTGATCACAGCTCACTGAAGCCTTCAACACCTAGGCTTAAGTCACCCTCCCACCTCAGTCTCCTGAGTACCTAGGAATACAGGTGCATGTCACCATGCCCAGGATTTTTTATTATTATTAATATTATTTTTATAGAGACTGGCTCTTATTATATTGTTCATGCTGCTCATGAACTCCTGGCCCCAGGCAATCCTCCTGCCTCAGCCTCCAAAAGTTCTGGGATTATAAGCATGAGCCACCACACTCAGCACAGTATTAATTTAAAAACTGGTGGATTTTTAAAGACTGATATATAATAGATGTATATATTTTCTGGATACATATGATATTTTGATACATTTGTATACTGTGGAAAGATCAAATCAGTATAATTGGGATACCTATCACCTTAAACATGTATCTTTATCTAGGGGCAGCCAAATTATTCTCTTCTGGGTATTTGAAAATATAAAATAGATTCTCATTAACTATAGTCACTCTGCTGATTGATCGAAGCCTAGGTCTCATTTCTTCTGACGGTCTGTTTGAACCCACTGATCAACATCTCTCCATCCCCTTCTTTGCTTTACTGAATTATTGTTCCTGCACTGGAATTCCTCAGCATGCTTCCTGAATGCCTTCTCCTGCAGAGTCTCCTGCAGGGATCCACACTTTAGTGGCTCTGTACTCTACTTTTACTTTAGATTTCAGGTTGTTTATGTTGCTAAGGAAACATTTCAATTTATGATTTTAAAAATATTGTTTGTGAAAGACCAATTCTTTTCACAGTTCTGAATGGAAGGATTATGCCTCCAAGTAATGTCTATGGAGGAAGAGCCCTCAGGGAATTGACTTCAAAAGCTTCTGAATTTGCTCTTTATTATGTTTTGTAATAAAACACTTGTATATTGTCCTTGTAATCATTTCTTGATTATCCCAACGGTACATTGTCAGATGTCTTCCTCTGAACAGGTGATGCTGTGTTGTATGTGCCATGCTGAAATGCAGAGATTTCAGCAGCATTCGACAAAGAACCATCTGCCTAAAGCTGCAGTTCTCAGCATGGACAAGCAGAAGGCTCAGTAGGGAAGCTGGTTATACATCTAGAGTTCTGATCTCATCGGATTCCCTAGAGGCCTAGGAACATGGATCTCAAGTGCCCCAAGGGATTCTGATGTGTTTGAAAACACACCTTTGGGAGTACCAGAAGTAGCAGTCACTCAGAAAACATTGACATAACCAGGAGGTCAGGGTGTGAGTGCTATGGAAAATATGGCTGTAGTTGGGGCCTTGCAGTGTGAGCGGCTAGCCCAGAGCTGAAATTGAGGATTCCTCAGTTCTCTAACAGAAGCGCTGATGATCAGGCCAATGAACTTCACAGAATAGCTCCATCCTTCTGCATGATAAGCTTAAACATCACCCACACCCACTTACAAGAAGAGCCATCATCCGACAACTTTGAATAAAGCCAATATCTAAAGTGCGGTATGAATGAGGCTTAGATAGCACCCAATAGAGAAACCCCTTTGATTTGTCACCTCTAATGTGGCATCTTCATTATACTGTATGCATAGTATGCATTTTCTCCAGGGAGAGAGTCAGTTGCTTTCATCAGACTCCCAAAGAGGTTCAGAATCACAACAGAGTTATGAAGGACAGATTTTAGGGCACCGTGAGGACAGTTGAGCATTCGCCCTAAACTCTCCTGATCCTCAGTGCAGTACTGGTTGATATTGGGGCATCAGAGAGGAGGAAGACACGGTGGTGTCTGTTTTCTGGCGTGTGCAGCACTGCGTGGGATGATGGCTGAGCTCACTCCTCCTCTAAAGGGTGGGCCCAGGGGGTCAGAGAAGCTGACCTGCCTTCGGATGCCTTATAGACAGGAATGAACCAAAACCCACAGAAGCAATTCTATAAGCGAGTAACTTAGTGAGGCTTGGGGTGCATAAGGACTGAGCAGGCTAAGGATGCAATGCTGACCTTGGAACTATAGGGTCAGAGGGAGGGTCATGAGATTGGAGAGAAAATGGTGTAGCAGAGTTGGCAGCTCAATTTTCAACTTGGAGGAATTCTTTCATCCTACTATATTGTGAGGGAAATTATTCAAAAGCGGTTTACAACAATGCTGAAGAAATCATTTCAAATAAAATTCATACCCTTTATTCAGACTAGGAGCACCCATGCCTCCCGTGGCCAGAGGGCACAGTAGCGTGAGTGATGCAGGGAGAAATGCCACACTCACTTTCTACCATACCGCCTTTCATCCTCCTTCCCATCCTGTAACTGGTTCTTTTTTTTTTTTTTTTTTTTTTTTGAAATGGAGTTTCACTCTTTGACGCCCAGGCTAGAGTGCAGTGGTGCGATCTTGTTTCACTGCAACCTCCACCCTCTGTGCTCAAGCAATTCTTCCACTTCAGTCTTCTGAGTAGCTGGGATGACAGGCACCAGCCACCACACCCGGCTAAATTTTGTATTTTTAGTAGAGATGGGGGTTTCACCATGTTGGCCAGGCTCGAACTACTGACCTCAAGTGATCCAACGTGCCCAGCCCTGTAACTCGTTCTTCTAAAGGAAAGTCCGTGCTCCTCATTTTCCTCGTTGGGAATGGCCCTGAGATTTCTGTTATAACCAACTGTTGTTATAAAATAGGCAGGATGACCTAAACAGGGTATGATTTTACTTTAAGAAGGAACAATTACAGGGACAAGGGTTGTAGAGGTATATGTGATATTAAATAACTCATATATAATAGTCTTATTATACATTGCTATACAGGATTTGTAAATAGATGACCCCAAGAGTCATACATTTGGGTAATATATTAAATCCTAACCCTTTCCTGATGGCCATTGTTCATAGAATTACAGATGAAAATTAGCAGCATTTGGAATAAAATATGAGGGATGAGGGGAAAGCTGCTGGAATCAGTAATGTGTGCAGAGGTGTGGCTAAAAGGTTATACACAATATTAACTTAGAGTAGTGTGATCATAAGATGATTTATATGCCAAAAAATAATGTATTTTGCTTTAAAGACATAATCCATTGCAAAAATGAATTTTAGTGTGAAGATCATTCACCGATGAAGACAGATCCAGTTGGATCCCCTTCGTCTGAATTCAGGAGATGTCCATTTTGGGAGCAAGAACTGGCAAAAAAACACTCCTATAAAATGGTAGGTTTACACTCGTGGGGATCTTAACCTTTCATGCTGTGTGATGCATAGGGCAGTAAATAGCTTCCTTTTGTGCCTGTGGCCATGGTTGTGTCACATGGAATTTTATTTGCCTTTATGGGACAGTGAGGACCAGTAATCTTCCCTGGCTGGATGGTGCTCAGGAAGTTCAGGGCTCCCTATCACATCCAATGGCAAGGTTCCTCCTGGGACTGCTTCTTCCCCAAGACAAAGAAAGGAACAGATGCATGGATTTTCTAGAAATTAGGGCTGAGGATTACAGAGGGAGAAAATTGAAGTTTAGAGAAAAAGATGTCAAAGTTTGGTGGCCTTTGTAGTGATAGAACAAATCTGCAAATATGAGTTATAACATTGAAATGAAAGGCATACATGAACTATCACCCTAGAAGGTCTGCATTACTTTATAGAAACAAACAAACAAAATGCTGTGGTCCAGGTGAAGAGCCCAGCTATTGTCATGTGAGAATTGCAACCAGAGCAGCCTCTGAGAGCTTCAGAAAGGTCTGTGAGGATCAGTTGATTTTTGAAGTGGCCCACGAGCTTAAATAATTTTCTACATTCTTTCTAGATGGCCTTCCTTGCTGACAAATACTGTAACTATTGTCGAGACGTTTTACTCAAAGTGAGGAATCAAGAATTTGAGAGGGTAGGGTTTTATCTATAAACTACAAGCATTTATGAGTCATTATTAATCATTTTATTTGAAGAGACCCCATCAACAGATGTCCAGTGCTTATATGCTATGCACTTACGTTGCAGTTATTGAGTTCTTGAAAGTGACATTGATATTCAGTGTAATCAGTTGGAAATTCTCCAAGGCACTAATACAAATAACTTAAGGCTCTAAATACAAATTCAGCTATTTTTTACATCCTAATTCTGCTGATTTTGAACAAAGTATTAGTAATAAAATTCACCCTGGACTCTTCAATGGTGCTGAAGAGCCATTTTATTGATCCGCACTCACTGAAGATGGAGCAGGACTTTGTAGCTGAGTGACCTGGCATGGGTGTTGTCACGATTGGATTTTATCCTAGAATCTGCTGTGGAAAATGTGAATAAAAATTTCAGCTATTCTGAATTTCATCTTTTGCAGTGTGAGATGAAAAATCCAAGGAAATAAGTGAACATTCAAATGAGAATTTTTTCTCATGCTTTAGTATATTCTAAGCACTTCAACTTTGGGTGATAACGTTCATTCAGCACGGGCTCATTTGCTACCTACTCAGCATAAAGCATTCTAGTGAGGGAGGAAGCAAGATGCCTTCAGGATGCCCCCTGTCCTGTTGATGCAATGTTATAAATATCTATCCACACTGCATATATCACATATTCCTTTCCTTCTTCACTTACTCATCAAATACTTATTTAATTCCTATCCTGTGACCTACACTGTTATCAGGACTAGGAAGGTAATCTCCATAAGACTTGAGAAGTTAGTAGTATGGTAATGAAAGGAAGAATATTACCCAATAAATACGATGCAATGTGGAAAGTTCTAGAATAGTTGCATGATTAGACTATTCTGGGTTCCAGAGAAGAGTAACAGAGAAGGCCAGGGAGTGCTTCCAAAGCAGGCCACGTTGCTGCCGACTCTAGTAGGAGAGGCAGAGGTGCAATAGACAGAAAATGGGGTAGGAGAAGGATTCCAGGTAGAGCCCATTGTGCAGGTAAAGGCGGCAGGATGTTTATGGGCACAACTAAAAGGTCACTATGACTAGATTTTATTATTATTATTATTATTATTATTTTTTTTTTTTTTTTTTTTTTTTTTCTGAGACAGAGTCTTGCTCTGTCACCCAGGCTGGAGTATGGTGATGCGATTTCGGCTCACTGTACCTCCACCTACTGAGTTCAAGTGACTCTCCTGCCTCAGCCTCCCGAGTACCCGGGACCACAAGCGTGAGCCACCATGACTGGCTAATTTTTTGTATTTTTAGTAGAGATGGGGTTTCAACATGTTGGCCAGGCTGGTCTCAAACTCCTGACCTCAGGTGATCCTCCTGCCCCAGCCTCCCAAAGTGCTGGGATTACAGGTGTGAGCCACCATGCCTGGCCTAGATTTTATTATTTCTAAAGAAGAGAAGCCAGAGGGGAGGTGGGAAAGTAGGCTGATACTAGAAAGGATGTCGGATGCCCCAGGAAAAACTCTGACTCATTGAGAAGACAATGTGGGAGCAGTGATAACAGGGCTCGGCCTTCACGGAGCGGACAGGCAGTGAGGAGGTTTTGTCATAGTTGAGGTGAGAAGCCACAAGGGTTGGATCTGTGGCAGTGACAGTGATATCAGAGAGAAATGGGGTCAGGCTGGAGAAATATTTCAGAGGCAGGTGCAACAGGGTTTGGTGACCTGGACGCGGGGGGTGGGGGATGAGCAGAGACGGGTCTGTGGGGTGGCTCCACTCACACCCCCTTCCCCAAAGCGCCATGCTCTGAGGTTCCCAGCCTGAGAGAAAAGGGAATGCTACGCCCTGTGTTGTGTTTCTCGGAGTCTCTTTGGGGAAGTCTTCTCTAGAATTAATGCCCCTGATAACAGGATTTTAAATCAGGGCCTACGGCCATGGAATTCAGGAGCTGACTCTAACTTCTTCCTTGACAACCTGCGCGCGGGGCCAGTGCCTTGTCTGGTGTCACTGGCAGGTCCTAGCACCAGAGCCAGGGAGGTAAGACAAGGCTGCGATGCCTTGCAGTACATCCCAAACAGGCAAGTCTTTACTGGCTGCGATGCCGATTGGCCACCTGGTTCAAGAACGGAAACGGAAGAGTCAACATGGGAAAAAACAGAAAAGAGGAGCTGCCATTTGGATCCTCCACAAAGCTGTCCACATAAGTCTTTAGGGAAGGCTCCTGTGTAGAGCCGCGTCAGTCCCCTTTTCTTCTACAATCATCAGGTGACCTCTAACCTGACGGCAAGGAGGAGGTCTCTTAGATTAGGTACTATCACACCTCCCTCTGAGCTGAAAAATGATTGAAGCAGTCAGTCAGTCGGTCAATGAACACTGATTCTCCCTTGGCTGTGCCCTGTGGCCCAGTCCCCATCCTAGTATAGTCAACTGGAGCCCCCTTGTGGTCAGAAACAGCTTCCCTTCTGGAAACTGCCTTATGACAATTTTAATAACGTTCTACATGATCCCATCCAACTCGCAGGCGCTCTCAGACAGGCTGCTGGAAAGAATTCTTCCAAAACATAGATTAGAAAAGCTGAGAGGCAAAGCTTTACACGCACTGGAACAAAATTCGTTCCATTGTCATCTGGGGCTAAGGAAGTATCTGGGGGAGGTGGTTAGTCTTGCGAGGTGCAGAATGAGTTTTGGCGATTTTCTCTGTTACTTGCCCCAGGTAGAGGACTTGCTCACTTCCTTCTGGAAGTCTCGGTCGCGAGACACAGTCATGCTGATGTCATTGCCTGATGCGTGCCAGCTCTTCAAGTGCTACGACGTCCAGCTGTACAAGGTAGGACGCGTGAGTCTCTGGGTTATATCCGTTGCAGAAATTGGCAGCAAATGCTGGGTTTGGACCCACAGCTCCAGCTCTCTGCCGTCTCCATGGTCCTCTGAGGAGTGAATAGTGGGGTGTGCGGACCAGGAGCCCTTTGATCTCTGCCTAACACTCAGCTTTCCTTTGTGAATTAGCTCATGGAAACCAAAAGCCAATGCACAAAGTGACCTATGGTTTCACTCCAGTGAAGTCCGAATTAGTCAATGTTCTTTCTCTGGGAATTTCTGTAAAAGAAGACGTTCTAAAATGACTAACTGGAATAATTGCTTTGTAATAGGTATAACTTCAGGGTTTTTATTTTGTTTTGCTTTGCTTTGGTTAAAGCTCAATCTCTAAAGTGATTGTATTTGGAGGGTCAGATCTGTATCTTTTCTGGTTTAAAAATGTGTTCTTCTTCAGTGAGTCACAAGCCTTACCTTTTATCATCTTTTTAAAAAAAAATCATCTAGTACTTCCAAGTTTTTAATACAAACATTGAAAACTGGAAGCTGGGTTCAGCCATTAAATATGTTTGGTTTGGCCCACCTAGTATTGGCCAGCAATGTGTGTGTGTGTGTGTGTGTGTTTAATTTGAATCACTTATCAATCTTTTAAAAACATTTGAAATAAATTCCAATTGTGGCTGCACCAGCCTGACGTCCTGCAAGAGAAGCAGTGGCGGGTCTGCATGGTGCTCCCCTTCAGACTGGGTGAGGACCGGCTCTCAGACCTGTTGACACACACCCTGTCCCTGTGGCATGGGTGAGCTTTGGTCACACCTGCACCATCAGTAGAATCATAGTGTCTTGATACTTTTGTTGTAGGCAATTGAGGATGTTCTTCTTCATGACTTCTTGGAAGATGTTTCTATTCAGTACCTGAAATCTGTGCGGCTATTTAGTAAGAAATTTAAGCTGTGGCTTCTTAATGCTCTGGAAGGTTTTCCAGCCTGCTTACAGATCTCCAAACTCAAAGGTAGGTTTCAATGAGAAGAAATTAATTCGCAGCCAGTGCAGTGGCTCACACCTGCAGTCCCAGCGCTTTGGAAGGCCGAGGCAGGAAGATGGCTTGAGCCCAGGAGTTTGAGACCATCCTGGGCAACGTAGTGAGATCCTGTCTCCGCACAAAAAAAAAGTTTTAAAAATCAGCTGGGTGTGGTGGCACACTGCTATGATTCTAGCTACTCAGAAGGCTGAGGCTGGAGGATCACTTTAGCCCAGGAGGTTGAGGCTGCAGTGAGCCATGATCATGTCACTGTACTCCAGCCTGGGTGACAAAGCAAGACTCTGTCTTAAAAGTAAATAAATACAGAGCCAGGCGCGGTGACTCATGCCTGTAATCCTAGCACTTTGGGAGGCTGAGGTGGGTGGATCACCTGAGGTCAGGAGTTCAAAACCAGCCTGGCCATCGTGGTGAAACCCCATCTTTAAAAAAAAAAAAAAAAAAGGTAAATAAATACATGAATAAATTCTGTAAGCATAGATGAAGCATCTGATTCCATCCTGGGTGGTAGCTTTCAGCTGCTGTTCCATGCGCTCAGCTATAGTCCCGAAGGCCCAACCTGCTCAGGATTTCTGACTTTTAGTGCTGGTGATGGATGTTAGCACTGATTAAGCACACCCTTCTTAGCTATTTCTCTTCTGAATAATAACACGGACTTTTGGCAGGTCAAGGGGTTCTAGATGTGCGTATTCACCAGGGCATTCACGCCTCATACCTGAATTACACCATCTCCCTGTTGAGTTTCTAAACTGCTTTCCCCGTCTGTTTGGCTGTCAGGCTGCAGTCTCTGAATGCTGCTTCCACTAGGCTATTTATCTGTTCAAGGCCTGCATGTGAAATAGGGGGCGTGGGACACAAACATTCAGATCATAGTAGCACTCATGTCAGATGCTGGGGTTACTTAACTTTTCTGGCACATGGGGATATTTCAGCTAAGTGGCCCCTGCCAGGAACACCTAGGCACTCAGAGAGGGCCGGCAGACAGGGGTGGGGAGGTTGCAGTTTAGCCAGCTGTGCCTTCCTACCCCAAACATGTACCTCCTCTTCCCCACTGCCCACATGAGAACTTGAAGTTATATTAATAGCCACATGTGTTGTTCTTAACAGAAGTTACTCTATTTGTCAAAAGACTAAGAAGAAAGACGTACCTTTCCAACATGGCTAAGGTAGGTTTCAGCCAAGCAGATAGGGAACAAAGCAGTTTCCTGAAAAGAAGCGAAAGCTCTAAGTTCCTGTTAAGAGCAGGTGGTCACTCCATCCATCTGCAGGGCAGAGGGCAGGCCGGGTGGCCTTGCCTGGTCACTGGCAAGGGAGTCCAGGTGCCCCTGTGACTCAAAGCTAGAAGCCTGCCCCCTTTCCACCCCTCCTCAGGAAGGCTCCAAGCTCCTGGCTTCTCAGGGCAGTAGGGAAAGCAGGTCAACATTTAAAAGATGCCCGATGGTTGGGCATGGGGGGGTTTACACCTGTAATCTCAGAAATTTGGGAGGCTGAGACAGGCAGATTACTTAAGGTCAGGAGTTTGAGACCAGCCTGGCCAACGGGGCAAAACTTTGTCTCTATCAAAAAGAAATTTAAAAATACCAAAACTAGCTGAGCATGGTGGCATGTGCCTGTAGTCCCAGCTACACCGGAGGCTGAGGCAGGAGAATCTCTTGAACCTGGGAAGTGGAGGTTGCAGTGAGCTAAGACTGTGCCACTATACTCCAGCCTAGACAACAGAATGAGATTCCATCTCAAAAAAATAAAAAAATAAAAATAAAAGAGGCCCCACAGAGAGGTGCCAGTGTCAGAGATAACGGTGCCTTGTAGAAGAACCTATGAAAGACAGAGAAACACATTTGTAAGGCTGGTTGCCTCACCGGGAGCTAAATGGACACACCCGTCCGTCTCCGCACCTTATAACTACGTCATCACCCCAAGCTCATTATCTGGCCTCGCCACATGGCTTCCCCGCGCCCACCTCTGCATACCATGCCCAAGCCCACACTCAGCACCAAGCTATGCATTCAACCCCAGCCCACCATTGGAAAACCCTGCCAAAAATTTAAAGAAGCCCCACCAAACCCTTCCCAATGGCAGTCTGCCCCATACGCACCGGGGCCAGCCCGCTTACTCAAAGTCCCGCCCACCTACCAATGACAGCTGGCCCCGTGCACATCCTGTTTTCCTATAGCCAGTGAAATTGCCTTCACTTTGTTTCCCCAATAACCAATCAATTGCCTCCACTCCCTATAAAACCCCAGCCCTGAACAACCGGGCTTGACTTCTCTGGCCCCCTCCTTGGACCGTAGAACCTCGCTGGGAGCTGAATAAATTGGCTTCTCATTTTCTTATACTTGCCTTAATTTCCTCATTCTACCTTGGCAATAGACCTTACAACATTCTTCACCTGTGTGTGTGGCCCTGTGGACTCGGTGTTGCCAGGACACCAGTTATTTCAGCTCCGACCTTTTCTCTCCTGGGGCAATTTAGAGAAAGGTTGAGAAGGGCTGGAAAACACTCTGTGATGCTGGCACATGGCTCGTGGGCCACCAAGAGTTCCTTCTCAAGTCCTGTAAGAGCCTGGGGACTGTCACTCTGTTCCAACTCAGTCTCCTCTGGGAGGAGCCCAGCTGGGGCTTCCGTGACATGGTGCTGGGCTCCATCCTCCAGCACATACCCCTCTCCAGACTCTGAGCCTGGCGGCGTCATGCCCCACTGCAGTCCTCACGGCCGGTCCTGTTCTCCAGGGCTCTCACAGTCCTGACTCGGTTGGTCTGGCAATGACCCTGCAGCGCGCTCTTCCTATTAACCCAAGCAGAGCAACAAACATGGGTTCTGGAGCCAACCCCTGCTCTGAGTCTTATCTTCCCACTTACTGCCCCTCGGAAAGTTACTTCATACCCCAAGAGCCCTCGGTGTCCTCCTCTGTGAAAGGGAGGGGTAACTCGTGCCTTCTCCCAGGACTGCTGTGAGGACCGCTAAGTGCATCCCAGGCAGTCGGACAGGGTCAGGGACTAAATGGTCCCCATTTGACAGCTAAGGATATCACCTCCCAGAGGCTAAATTCCTCATGGCCAAGGCTCCCATGAGGAAGGGACAGCCAGCTTCTGAACCCCGCAGCCACACCCTCAGGATCGGTGCAGGGTCTACCTACACCTTCCTCACAGAGGCCCAATCCACGGGCTCCCTCTCTAGAGCCATTTGGGCGTGGGGTGAGTGGGGTGCAGAGAAGCAGCAGCAGCCATGCCCAGATAGCCCTGAATGCATCGATCTAGAGATGCCGTCTTTCTAAATGCTGCTTTTCAGAAGGGCAGTTCTAGAATGTGTGTAATTTTAACCTTTTCCTTGTTAAGATTCATTTTTAATGTGTAATACCTGCATCAATGTTTCTTTCTCCCCCACAACAAAAGTCTTGGCAATTAGGAGGAGCGTTAGGCAAAAATAAAATGACAAGGTTGAATTAAGTATTACGCCTCCCCATGGTCTTTAGACTATGAGAATGGTATTGAAAAGTAAGAGGCGAGTCGGTGTTCTGAAGTCGGATCTGCAGGCCATCATTAATCAAGACACTTTGGCTACTTCTAAGAAAGCCCTGGCAAGTGACCGGAGCAGCACAGATGAGTTGGAGAACAACCCAGAGATGAAATGTAATCTTCCTTCTGCAGCTTGCTTTATTGGCGTGGCGGGCATAGATTTGGGGCTAGCATGAATTTCTTAATGGAGGTAGAACTTTATAACTGATGTTCTCAGTTGTCTGCTCACACTTCTCTTCCTATAGGGGGGTGATGAACACCCCAGGAATGCGCTATCCCTGTGTCCCCAGGACCCACCCCAGGGCCGGACAGGGCAGCAGTTCTAATACCTGCTGGTTGAGTTAATGAACGACTAGATGAGTATGCCTGCTGCTTGACAGTATCACCAGAATATCTCCTGCGGGGAAAAAGTTTAGTTTCTGCTTCTGTGTTGTACATGGACGGGCTCCTGTGTCTCCTCAATCGTGCCTGAATTGCCTTGGGCTAGATGTCTGACTGGCTACATTCTGCCACCACTCTTTGACTTGCAATGTGAAGTCTAACAATGGTGCCTTCACAGTATTTCATTTCTTTCCAAACAAGTGATAGGAAGCAGGTGGATATTCTTGCCCTTTGCTATTGATCATTTGTCATTGTTTTTCAAGAAAAAAAAAATCCCCCTTTGTTAAAGAGCTCACATTGTTGGCTGGTGTGTGTTGTTATGTCCCTGGCGAGTGAACGTAGTGGCAGAAGGAGCTCTCCCCGGACTCAGGGAGGACGTGGGAGGCAGGGAGCTGCCGAATGGTTGCTGATGATGGATTATGGGCATCTCTAGGCCCTCCTAGGATGGCTACAGAGAGGGTGCCAGGCTCCTCTGTGTGTGCCCTTTCCAAACACTGACTACTGGATGCCCCAGGTAAGTCAAATGGCCACTCCCTCTGTGGGCATAACGCCTTGCTAGTACTCTCGGCTGTGTCTGTAGCTGCCTGCCCAGCTCTCGTGAGCTCCTTCAGGCTGTCAGCTGTGTCTTATTCACCCTGGGCCACGAAGCTTTGCACTGGCCCACAGGAACACTTCAGTGTTTTGTGACTTGATGGATACAGGATTCAGGAGTACACAAAAGCACCACCTAAAAATTAGCCCATCCTCTTTCTTTCACCTTGAAGTAGGCCTGGCTTTGGTAGGGCTGTGCCAGTTATTAAAATACGTCCCTATTGGTGAATGACGTCGACCTCTGCCTGCTCCCCTCCACTGCTCTGTCTCTTGATAGTGTCCCCTGGCTGACCCCAATCCCAGATCCTCCCATAGGGCACTTTTTTCCCCACCAATCCAGCAGCTAAAAGGTTAACACCTAATCCAGCAGGCTTCAGAGCTATTAGTAGAATTACTAATTCTGATTAGTAATTCTGCGGTTCTTATTAGTAGGAACCCAAAAGGTCCCCGTTCGCAAGGCACTGGCTCACCAAACCTTGCCTTTGCCCCCAGCTGGGGCCCAGGGAGTTCCGGGAGGGCATGAGACCCCCCCTCAACCAGGTGCCTTCCAGACTGCACGCTCGTCTGGCCAGGGCTCCTGTGCTCCTACTGGCATCTTCGTGAGTCCAAACAGGAATATGTAGTTCTGCAGGGAGACAGGAGACTGACAGGAGACTGACAGCCACTGCTGATACCTGCAGGCAAATGCTTCCAATTCCAAGTCCAAGTGCACCTCTCCCAAGCCTGAGGGGGGCTGCTGCAACAAACTCAGTGTTCCCAACTCTGTTTGGTATGCAGAAGCACTCAAAAAGCTGGCAAGGCCAAAGGCTGTTCTTTCTCTGTCAGTGCTACCTGTGCAGGTGAAGGACCCAGGGCCTGACCTCACACCGAGCTCCACCTCACTGAGTACATAACCCCAGGCGAGGCGCTCACCCTCTCTCAGCAGCTTTGATGTCTGCCATCACTTAGATGACATTCATAAACCAGCCCTTTTATGAAGATGGCAAGGATAGGTGAGGTCACGTCTGTACGTGCAGTGAGCTCATCTGAAGACAAGGCCTGGATAATCTCAAGGTGTAGTTATGGTTTCAAAATATTTCTATTTCAACAAGTGGCAGAGACGGCTCACAACAGACATGTCCGTGTAACCCTGAATAGATGACCGCAGAGGTGACAAAGCCAGCCTCAGGACATCCTCTGTGTTCACAATGAGCATGAGGCCCTGGGGAGTCCCTTTGAACTAGATGTTCCCTAGGTTACCCAGTACAAAAGTACCTACAGAGAAATTCTGCTCTGGTGCATGCAATCTTTTGGTTTGTTTATTTTGTGTCTTTGTAGGTTTAAGAAACTTAATTTCTTTGCTGGGAACATCAACAGATCTCAGTGTATTCCTCAGCTGTCTGTCTTCATATCTCCAAGCATTTGTGTTCCAGGTAGGAAGCTGTGGCTTAAAATTTTTTTTAAAAGTGTGTTGACCATTCTAGATAAATGAGTGTCCATTGCCTAGGGGATGGGAAAGAGACTTCTTAGGCTCTGGTCAGAAAGGTGTCAAGGGTGGCCTGGGTGTGAGGGCACTGGGTAGCATTGAACTCTGTAGTAAAGAGGGGATAGGGGCTGGGGGGAGCACATCACACAAGTGTGTGTGTGCATATGGTTTCGTGCATATGGGAGTGTGTGTTGGGGGAAGCCTGCGGTGAGCATGCATGTCAGTGTGTGTGTGAGCACGTGTGTCTGTGGGTGTGGTGAGCATGGTGTACAGGTGAGTGGGTGTGCGTGAGCGTGTGCAGTGTGTGTGTGTAAGTGGATGAGCATGTGTGGATGAGCGTGTGGACAGGTGAGCATGTGTGTGACTGTGAGTGGGTGTGGGTGAGTGTACAGGTGTGTATTGCACCAATGGGAGTGTGGAAGAGGAGGAGGGGTTTTGTCTGGTTTTGGGGGAAGAACAGCGCTTGTCTGCGTGTTTTACACATATGTTCCAGTAAAGTATCTGGCTTGATTTCAAAAGCCCAGAGATGGCTTGGTTGTGGATATGGGCAGGTTTGGTCGTTCTAGCCAATGTGGCTCTTGGGATTTGCTTCGTGGGATCCTGGGCTTGATTTTCATCATCCTCCGTTGGGGGAATCCCCTGTGGAGAGCTGAGAATGTCACAAGAGAAGCCACGGCCCCTCGCTCCATGGACCCAGGGAAGGTGCGGAGAGCTAGGGGCTGTGGGTTAAAACCTAGATGGAGGCCAGGCATGGTGGCTCATGCCTGTAATCCCAGCACTTTGGGAGGCCAAGGCAGGAGTATCACATGAGGTCAGGCGTTCGAGACCAGCCTAGCAAACATGGTGAAATCCGGTCTTTACTAAAAATACAAAAAAAAAAAAAAAAAATTAGCTGGGCATGGTGGTGCGTGCCTGTAGTCCTAGCCACTCAGGAGGCTGAGGCAGGAGAATCATTTGAATCCGGGAGGCAGAGGCTGTCGTGAGCTGAGAGCCACTGCACTCCAGCCTGGGCAATGAAAGCAAGACTCCATCTAAAAACAAACAAAAATACACCTAGCGGGAATGAGGCAGCTTAGGCCCCACCTCTTGAGACACTGTGCTTGCCAAGGCTGAAGTGCTTGGGAAAGGCCTTGAAGAGAAGGTGGGACTTAAAACTGGGATACGAAGCATGTGAAGGATTAAAATAAGCTGAGAGGGGGAATCAGGCATTCAAGAGCAGTAGTGAGCCTACCTGGGGAGGAAGGAGCACTCCACACTGGTGGAGAGAACGAAGGGCCTGGGGCTGGGCATGTGGCTTGGGGCTATGTCTTTAAAAGCTTCTGGCCATGTTGCCGCCAGTTCCTTGTGCCATCTGCCTGGCCTTGTCTGTACGTCTCACCTCTCAGTTGAGAAGATAGGGGAGAAATAATAATTGAGACCAAGAGGACTGAAGGGGACTTAAGAATCTTAAACCTTCTAAATAGGAACCAGAAAAATCCTCAGGAAAGAGCTCAAAAGCCAGTTCCAACCCTTGGCAGGTGTCTGGTCTCATTTGCTTCTTGAAAATAATTATCCCAGCTTCTGTATGGTTTTCATTCCTCCTGTTGATCTCAGGCAAAGCTTATTTATAACAGCAGTGACCATGTCCAGAGCTGGATGGCTATTGAGACATTTATTCATTCACTAGCTGAAGGCTTATATTGTACATCCTCACAGATAGCTGTCCACCGTCTGCTCCTTAAGTGGAAACTGGAGCTCAGCCTCCAGCTTTAACCAGATGAACCACTGAGATCATCACCACCAACCCTGCCATCCTACATCATAAACCACAGAGCGCTGTGTTTCCCAAGTCCGTCACTGCACCTTCAGCCCTCACAAAGGAGGCATGTTAGAAAAATGGGGTTTTGGGAACTGCATGTCTTTGAAGGCCTTTTTTTTGTAAAATAGCTGAACTGATTTTTACACACCAGATTGTCAATCAAATGCTCAGACTGTTAAGATGCACACCCTTGGGCTTGTCCGAGATGCCCCATGGCTTCAGTTAGCATCTGGCAGTCAGCGAGCAGAGGGCAGTTTGGGTCCTGGAGGAAATTCTGTGTCCGGGGACATGAAGTGCTGACTGGAGGTGATGGGAAGAGCCCTCGATGGTGTTTATGGCTGACTTTCAAATGTTCCTGCGGAGAGAGCCCTGGTCACTCAGAGCTGCATTCCTCAATGCTTTTAGGAAGTATCCCTGTGGGTTGGTTGATTTATTTATTTATTTATTGAGATGGAGTCTTGCTCTGTCACCCAGGTTGGAGTGCAGTGGCACGATCTCTGCTCACTGCAACCTCTGCCTCCCGGGTTCAAGTGATTCTCCTGCCTTAGCCCCCTGAGTAGCTGGGATTACAGGTGCCAGCCTCCCCGCCTGGCTAATTTTTGTATTTTTAGTAGAGACAGGGTTTTGCCATGTTGGCCAGATGACCTTGAACTCCTGACCTCAAATGATCCACCTGCCTCAGCCTCCCAAAGTGCTGGGAATACAGGCGTGAGCCACCGTGCCCCGCCAGATCCCTGTGGTTTTATACTCACATTGTCCCTTCGACCTAAAATTCTCTGCTGAACACCGATGGGAAGGGGCTTCTCCCAAGAGTTCATCTCAGTTAGTGAGGAACACTGAGGAGGATGCTGCTACCAAAAGGACCTCACGTCCCCTGAAGCTCAGGGCCACTTTCTGGTGTGCCAAGGGTTTCGCTGGGGCAGAAGGGAGAAGACGCAATGACAAGAAAGCATTTCTTTGTTCCTAGCCAGCTTCTCCATCTCTTCCTCAAAGACATGTGGTGGAGCTGTGGTTGGTCCACAGGCATGTGAGTGAGTATGAGAGGAGACTTGGAGCATGCATATCAACAGACGCATTTGAAATCATGACTTATGGCTTACAGATGGCTTCAAGTGTGGCCCAAGGCTGCTGTCTGTCTGGGTGGAGGGAACTTCTTAGTCTGCATGCAGCGGCATCTTATTGGTACCCAGGTTAGTGCCAATGAGGCTGTCAGATGACCTTGGTTTCCCTGGATGCAGGGGCTGGGACTTTCCAATCTGGAGATTGCTTACACACCAAGCATGATGACCAGCTTTTCCAAATAGGCACCTCTACTTTTCATTATTATGGGATTCTGTGCCCCTTTTACACAATCAGATTAGACATGCAGAAGTGCAGGAATAAAACAGCCCCCACCCTTCTCGATGGCCCTTTCCAAGTGGACTTCAGTGAGGCTGTGCCTACAGTGTTTCTGTGTCACACATCACAAGTGACCTCTTTTTCTAAAACTGAATAGTGCTGGGCATGGTAGCTTATACCTCTAATCCTGGTGTCTTTGGGAGACCGAGGCAGGAGGATCCCTTGAGCCCAGAAGTTCAAGAACAGCTTGAGCAACACAGTGAGACCCTTATCTCTACCCCACCTCCCCCCCAAAATTAAATTAGTCATAGGCAGTGGTGCATGCCTGTCGTCCTAGGAGGCTCAAGTGGGAGGATGTCTTAAGCCCAGGAATTCGAGGCTGCAGTGGGCCAAGATCGTACTACTGCACTCCAGCCTGGGCAACAGGAAGGCCATGTGTCCAAAAAAATTTAAAAATTACATGGTGATTTTAAGATAAAAAGCAAGCCAATTTTCCACATCCCTCCCTCCTTCTCTTCAGCAACTTTAAAGGGCTCTGCCCTGGAACCATCTCCAGGAGAAAGACCAGACATTGGCCCCACTGCCTCAGTTTCCACTCTTGTTATTTCGATTTTCTCTTCTTAGGCTCTTTAAAAATGCATGCGCATGATAAATGTGTGCATTTGAAAACACGCGGTGCTTCTCGATTTTATCACAAACTGCAGCCCTTTTTCTCACAAAAACAATAGCCAAGCAGAAGCAAAGAAGAGTTTCTCAAATTGGCCGCCAGCTTCCAGCTGAGATGGAATCTTCTTCTCACTGCTGTGAGCAAAGCCATGACGCTCTGCCAGAGAGATAGTTCTGGTGAGTCAGAGATTTCAAAAATATTCTGTATTCTACCTTTTAAAAATGTCATTATAGGATAAGTATTTTGCATATTGCTATGTAGAATCGAACATCTTCTTTTAACGTTTTTATGTAAAATGTAAGCTACAGCAAACCATACAACGCCATAGTCATTTTTAGTTTTAATGTCAGTGTGATCGTCTGTCAAATAGATGGACTATGCTTTTCCTTCCTGTTTCATCAGGGTTAGACACACAGGAAGGCTCCCCTTGTTCTTGAATTATGAGCTTTGTGACATTTTGAAAAAAGCACTGAGATAGAGAAAAAAAATGGGTACCTTGGAGCACCCATACTTAACTCTCAGGAAAAATGATTAGGTTGCCATTGTATGCAGATTACAGAAAGAGTGAAGTAATATTCATTTTGCAAACTTCCTGGTCAAATCATTGGTCTTCCCCTATTGGGGAAGGTTACATCTTTGATGCAGTTGCCTTATAAAAAGAGTTGTAGGGGTGGGTGGTTGTGGCTAATGCCTGTAATCCCAGCACTTTAAGAGGTCAAGGCAGGTGGATCACCTGAGGTTGGGAGTTTGAGACCAACCAGATCTAATAGTAAAACTCTGTCTCCACTAAAAATACAAAAATCTGGGAGGCTGAGGTGGGCAAATCACGAGGTTAAGAGATCGACACCATCCTGGCCAACGTGGTGAAACCCTGTGTCTACTAAAAATACAAAAATTAGCTGGGGATGGTGGCGCATGCCTGTAGTCCCTGCTACTTGGGAGGCTGAGGCAGGAGAGTTGCTTGAACCCAGGAGGCGGAGGTTGCAGTGAGCCAAGATCATACTACTGCACTCCAGCCCGGCGCCTGGCGACAGAGTGAGACTCTGTCTCAAAAAATAATAATAATAAATAGCTGGGTGTGGTGGCAGGCAGCTGTAATCCCAGCTACTCAGGAGCCTAAGGCAGGACAATTGCTTCAACCTGGGATGCGGAGGTGGCGGTGACCCGAGATCACACTGTTGGACTCCAGCCTGGGTGACAAGAGTGAAACTTCACCTCAAAAAAAAAAAAAAAAAATACGTTGTAGGAAGGGAAATTCACGACTCAGCACACCAACTTCATGAAATGGATCATTCTTTCAAAAGGTATTTCTTGCTTCCCAGGCCCTTTCCTGGGCACTGGGCATACAGCAGTGGAAAGATAAAGTCTCCACTTCTGTGAGTTTGCATAGTAGTTATGGCTAGTGATCTCTGCACAGAGAGCTGCCAGATGCCCTCACAGCAAGCAGGCAAGAAGGAAGAGAAAGCACACCCTATTCTAGACCAATTCTGCAGACACCCTGGAGCTCTTGAGGGCTGCTGCTGTCAGCTGCCATATAGGTGACACTCACTTATAGTGGGACTCTTCCCTTTAATGAAGTCCAAACTGACCGTGCTTTATGCTCATGCTCTTCCAGAGCAGAGAGAGCAGAGTTCACGTGCATCATGGAAAAAAATCTAGCCCAGAGCCGGGTGTGGTGGCTCACGCCTACAATCCCAACACTTTGGGAGACTGAAGCGTGTAGATCTCTTGGGCCCGGGAATTTGAGACCAGCCTGAGCAACACGGTGAAACTCTGTCACTACAAAAAAAAATACAAAAATTAGCCAGGTGTGGTGGCCCAATAGTTCCAGCTACTTGGGAGGCTAAGGTGGGAGAATCGCTTGAGCCGGGGCGGCAGAGGTTGCAGTGAGCAGAGATTGTGCCACTGTACTCCAGCCTGGGCGATAGAGCCAGACTGCCTCAAAAAAAATAAGAGAAATCTAGTCTGTAGTTGTTACTTTTCCCAGTCTACCTTCTCTGTACCTCCATATGAAATCTGTGTATTCACACCAGTAGTTTGAACAATGGTTTCCAGGCTTGGACTATGATTTTCCAAGGTTAAACAGTCCAGATGATGTTGCCAAGCTCACCTCAAGCATGATCATGCCTTCCGCAGGGACAGTCATCTCTCACACAGCTCCGTGAAGGAACAGAACACTACTCAGGGAAAAAATTGTGAAGGACTTTTGAAATGGATGAAAAGATGACTTAAAAATGAACAAAAGGCTTTGAAATGGACAAAGGGTTGGCACAGCCTTCTGGATTATCTTTGCCTTCCATTTTCTTTGAATTATTTTTACAGCTCTGTAAGTTGCAGCAAACTGATAATGCAGATGACCCTCATCCACAGAAGTACAAGCTAGTTGTGTCAGGTGGCTGCGATTGATACTGCCCCGAGGACAGAACCCTTTTGCATCTATTTGCCACTGTCAGCATTCTTGTCTCTCTTAGTATATATTTAGTACGTTGAATTCTCTTGTGAACCAGTGGCAACATCTTACTGAGGTCACAGTAAGATGTAATACATCATTTAATTAATGAGTTAAATAAAACCTTTGATTTGTCCGTTTCATATCTGTATAAGAGTCATGGTTTTACCTTTATTTAAAACTTATGTTCTAACAATTGCAATAGGCAAGATTTCCCCTTCTGTTTCTAAGGCAAACATTAATGATTGTTTTCCTTTCTGGGAGAGCAAAAGCCTTGGGATTTGGGGCATTTAGCTAAGTCACATACCCTCCTGTCTCTCCGATGACAGCCCCATCTGAGAGGGTGCCTCTCACAGGTGGAGCCCTAGCTGGCTTCCTTACCCACTTCCCACGCAAAGAGCTGCAGCCACAGAGTCAGCTGGAGGGGCAAGGCACTACGTTTCAAGCACCACAAAACAGCATCAGGGTCCCTTCTGCACGCTGCCCCCGTTTCCTCCCACCCCTTCTGGACGTTCCTGTGGGTCATACACGGGGCACGGTGAGGCTGAGGGGCACCCTCTCCAGCTCTGGGAGCTGCACCAAGGTCCCTGTACGGTTTGCTTTCCTCCCATCTCACACCGGATGGGTTCTAAGTTCCTTTTCATGGCTTAGGGTATTTAGCTCTCAGTCCTTTCTATCCAAAAGCTGCTGTGCCAGGGGTCCCCTACTTATAGATGCTGCATAAGAGGCCCAGGCCCCTTCAGGGTCAGCTATGGGAATGAGGCTCAGGTACATGGGTGTTAGCCACAGAAAAGTTGTTAGTTTCACAGTGATTTGTTTACTGTCTGTCTATCAAATGTATTCATTTCTGGTTATTATCTAAATGTAGGTTCCTGGCATCTGTTTCACTTGCTGCTTTTGGAATATGTGATTCATATACTTCAGTCATGCCTAGAGGAGGAAGAGGAGGAGGAGGACATGGGGAATGTCAAGGAAATGCTACCAGATGACCCGACTCTCAGCCAGCCAGACCAGGCACTTTTCCACCCTCTGAATTCCTCGCTGTCCCAGGCGTGTCAGCCCCAGCGTGGAGCCACTGGGGGTGTTGCTGACACACATGGGCCAAGGCCAATATCTCACGGGTGTGAGCAATGTGGTCCTCAGGATCCTGGGCTTCCTGGTGGACACTGCCACGGGCAATAAGGTAGGGACACCAGGATCCCCTTCCACGCAGCTGTTTCAAGGGAAGTAAGAGCCATAGCGGTTAGGAAAACCATCAAGATCACATTGTCCCAACAATGATAAAGGATTTCACGATCTTCTTTGCCCTAGGTGATTTTGCTGGGGATGAGTATAATTCACTACCTGTTGATTACTGGTCGGCTCAGGTTTGTGGTACATTGATAAGTGCCTGGCATGATTAGAAGTGTGGACCATCTGGATGGCCTGGGTCTTTCTTGCCTTCCCAGAGCATACCTGGCTGGGTGAGATTAACTCAGCAATAGCACACTGCTAACCTCTGAGTGGCATGCACTGAAAATGCCCCTAGTGTTTAAAAAAAAGGAAGCGTTGAATAGTCTGAACAGAGAGGATTTTGAAAAGATTAAATTGGGATACCTGTTGAAAGATATAAAAATAAAAGTTTTACCTCTTTACCTAACACCTACTATATAGCCCTCATATATGTTATTTTGAAGCCATATTATCCTGTAGAATATTTGTTCTTGTCATTCTCATTCGATTGATGAGGAAACTGAGGCTCAGAGAAGCTGAGTGACTTGTACAAAGTCACACAGCAAGAAAATAGTAGAACAGAGATTGGAGCCCCAGCCTGCCTGATCTCAAGTCCATTCTTCACCCACAACCCTAGACAGGAGGTTGGTTTATGCCCTGAGGAGTGCAGGACCCAGGTTAGAGAGGTCAGACATGGACCTCAGTGCCACGAAGCAAAGTTGGATTGATGGAGGAATGGCTGCAGTGCCTCCATGGAGGAGCAGGGAGTGGGCTGGTTAAAAAAAAAAAAAAAACTGACAGCAGGTGTCTTAGGACTAATTTCTCTGCATATGTTTGATGTTTAGCCACTATCCATTGTCGCCTTTTTATGACAAGTTCCCCTCTTGCACAGATGAGTTGTGCTTAGTAGGAAATTGAAGCAGGTGCAATCATTCAACCTAAAGCAGGTTAATAGTGGTCTCAGCCGTGGCAATGAGTCACAGCCTAAAACTCACCATGCATTATAGTTCGCAGAATAATAGAAACCTTCCAGGACCCTTTCCTTCCTGAGCAAACTCTCATTCCGAGTTTTCCAATTGCAGAAATCCTGCACACATTGTTATTGAGCCATGCTTGGACAAGACACCTCCATAGACAAAAAAAAGAAAAAAAAAAAAAGCAGGAGCCAGGGAAATGCATCTCTCAGGTTTATCCGTTCTCTATCTGCCTTGGTCTTTGTTTTCTCACCTTGAGAGATAAGTCACATATCCAGCTGCATTCAGTGCTCTCTGTGAGGTAGATTCAGATGTGTGTCTGTAAATGAGAAACTTACCTCCTCCATGAGTGTCCACGTAAAAAAAGCAGATGTGATCAATGAAGCATGCAATAGTGAAACACTGACCCCACCTTGGGGTTGCTGATGAGAGCTGGGCCTCCTTAGCTGGCGGCAGCTAAGGCACTTTCAGGAAGCATGTGTATTCAGAGAGTTCGCAGAAATTAAGACCCAGTTAGATCTGAAGAGGCGATGGCTTTCCTAGGCTGTGCCCAGGAGAATGGCTCTCCCTGCTGCTGTACCTGGTGGTAGAGCCCTCCAAGGGCCACCAGTATCAAGCACCTGAGTGTTCTCTGGAGTATTCTGTAGAGCCCTAGCAGGACCAGCATTCGTGCTGGGCTGCAGTGTCCAGCTCCAAGTGAGCAACTCTTTGCACTCACCATCTGGGGCGAGAGGTCAGAGTGTAGCATGACAACTTGTTAAAGAAAAAAAAAAACTTTCAGTGACACTTGTTAAGGCACCATAAGGAGGGCTTTATCCATGAGGAAGGCTTTATTCAGTACCATCTCCATAGGGCTTTTGCAGTGGGGGAGAAAGACCGGGCTTAACTCTGAGAACAGCAGGGATGGGGGTGTGTGGGTGCAGAATTTATAGCCTAGGAGCCGGGTGCGGGTCAGTGCATGGAAACTTACTAAGAAGAAATGTCAGGGGTAAGGGGGATTCTGGCTAAACCCACCTAACAGGGTTCTTGTAGAAGCCTGGCCAGCTGGGGTGACCAGACATCACCTGGGAGCTGGTAGAGGATGAGGAAACTGATCAGATATGGAGATGGGGCATTCTTGCTAAAGTGACTCAGGGTTCTAGCTAAAACTGGATTTTACAAGGAAGTGTGTGAAGGAGAAGGTTCGGGAGCCAGACAAAAGTTCAGCCAAGTGGAGAATGTATGTCAAATTGTATACACATGCTTCTTAGTCAGCAAAGTAACCAGGAATAAGCTTTTACCTCTTCAGCCACAGTTAAAGGGAAGAAGATAGAAGCTGACAGTCTCCCTGAGCCCAGTGTTTAAATGCATCTTTCATCTCAGTGAAATAGGTGTTATCATCGAGCCCATTTTACAGCTGGCATAACTGAGGCACTTGAAGGGGTTGAGGAATTTTCTCAAGGTCACCTCACTAATCACTGTGAGAACAGGAATTTACACTTCCACAGATCTCCTTCCAAGTCTGTCCTTCGCAGCATTCTCTCTCTCTTCCAGAGCATATTCTACCATCTGCTTTAATTCCAAAATTGGTCGCTTGGGATTAATTACTAAAAATACCTTCAAGTCTGATAAGGGCAATTCTGGTACATACATTTCTGCGTTCAAATTCTACATCTTCCACTTATTAGCTAGAACCTTGGACAAATTGCTTAACTTATGGAGATGCTCATGTCTAATTCTATAGGGCCATTATGAGGTTTAAATAAGTTAATTGCTGTAAAATGCTTGGACTGTTTCCTAGCATATAGTAAGTTCCCAGTAACCACTGGCCATCATGATTATTTCTCCACCACAGCCTCCTAAGCTGAGCACTTTCCCTTAACACTCCTGGCCCAATTCTTTAGCTCCTCTGAAGTTCCTTGCAATGACGTTTGACCTATATGTAATGGGTGGAAACAATAGAGACGATATTAAATACTTAATTGAACTACATAATTAAGCAATACAAGCAGATGAATGTCAGGTAATCCAAGGTAATACACATTAGAGATTAATTAAACCTGCTTCTTTTCCTTCATGCCTGCTGAATTAGCTATAATGACTTAAACAATCACACCAAAAAGTTACGCTCATCTGATTTTCATTGCATCCATTATTCAGCACTTGCACTCATCATCAACAAAAAGCACGCCCTGTGTGTCCCATCTGCATTCATCTGCCATGAGTTAACACCCCATTTGGCTGCACAGCTGCGGCAGCCTCATTCCCTGAACAATTTAGCACTGGCCCGCATCTACAGTAACAACTGAAGTCAGCATTCTGGATCGCCATATCCATCTGTTCCTCTTCTACATTCTAGTGGCGTTCAAAACGGTCAGATGCCAATGCATGCTTAAGAACAATTAGTGAAAAACTATAATGATATTAAATAATGAATTTGGGTCATGTACTCCAGGATTACAGAAGAGAAAAAGAAAAAGATTTTTTTAAGTGTCTCTTCACCTCTAGGGTAAAGGTGAAAATAATTTTTGAAAAAGAAGAAAAACATCTTTTCATTGGATGGTGATGGTGGTTGTCAAATTTAGAGAAAGAGGGAGACATACTTTCATGATCCTTGCATTTGAAGTAATCATGCACACATCTCTATCAAAGTATACTAGCTTACAGGAGGTTTATGGGTGAAATCAGACCCAGCAAATACATTTCCGTTGGTTTTAAAGGAGTCATGGACAAAGATCTGCAAGTCTTCCAAGTTTCTCGGAGCTAAGCGAGGGATGGTATATTTGCCATTCTCTGATAGGAAGATGTGCTGGGTCAGCTGAAGTGGCTGATGAGAGCTTCAGCTAACTTAGAACCTCCACACCTCCTGAATCTCTTCCTTCCCAATTGAGTAACCAATACCAGATTGCTGTTTTCATAGGTTCCTCCCCACCCCCATTTAATAGTTTATTTGACAACGAGGGAAGGAGAGCCTGTGTGGGAATTTGACCCAACTATGTCAGCTCCAGAGACTTGTTGAGAATGTGGGGATTAGTACCCGTCCGGAAACTCCCAGATTGATGGGTGCTACAGCCACATGGAGACCCTGGGTGCCTTTCATAGGCTCCCTCCTGACTTTCGCGACCCATCTGCTTTCTCCAGCATCTGTCTGTTCTCAGGTGTCTGTTAAGGAAGAGTTGGTTTGCTCTCACTAGGATATTTCTCACAAATTGCAGAGCACTCTTCCTTTCCCTAAAGAGAGCCCATCAGCTCCGCACCCCTGCACCATCCCTGCCTTGCAAAGCCTCCCACTGAGTCCTCCCCGGACCCTGAGTGTTTTCCTGAGAAATCGGGAGTTCTCTTAGTAAGAATAAATGCAGCCCGGCGCGGTGGCTCAAGCCTGTAATCCCAGCACTTTGGGAGGCCGAGGCGGGTGGATCACGAGGTCGAGAGATCGAGACCATCCTGGTCAACAAGGTGAAACCCCGTCTCTACTAAAAATACAAAAAATTAGCTGGGCATGGTGGTGCGTGCCTGTAATCCCAGCTACTTAGGAGGCTGAGGCAGGAGAATTGCCTGAGCCCAGGAGGCGGAGGTTGCGGTGAGCCGAGATCGCACCATTGCACTCCAGCCTGGATAACAAGAGCGAAACTCCGACTCAAAAAAAAAAAAAAAAAAAAAAAAAGAATAAATGCATGGGCCAGGCACAGTGGCTCACGCCTGTAATCCCAGCACTTTAGGAGGCTGAGGCAGGTGGATCACCTGATGTCAGGAGTTCGAAACCAGCCCGGCCAACACGGTGAAACCCTGTCTCTACTAAAAATACAAAGCTGGGCATGGTGGCACATGCCTATAATCCCAGCTATTTGGGAGACTGAGGCAGGAGAACCGCTTGAACCTGGGAGGCTCAGGTTGCAGTGAGCTGAGATGATGCCATGGCACTCCAGCCAGGGCAACAAGAGTGAAACTCCATCTCAAAAAAAAAAAAAGAATAAATGCATGAACTTCCCCTTTACATCCCAGGGTAGGAGCACAGGCTTGGTAGAAGAATTCAAATGGTAGTTCCTGCAGCAAGGAATGGTATAACTGCCTCTTTTTGTCTTTTCCCTTTAAACATTTCCCTCTTGCAGCTCATCCAGGTGCTGTTGGAAGATAAAGCCACTGACAGCGCAGTTAAACTCACCCTTCCTATGGGACAAGAAGCCCTCGTAACCCTAAAGGATGGACAACAATTTGCAATTCAGATATCAGATGTACCCCAAAACTCTGAAGACATTTATTTCAGAGAAAGCAATGCTAATGTGTGAGATTATTTATTTGAATAGCGAATAAGAAAATGGATAGACTTACATTCTTTTTTTTTTTAAATAAATGTTGGCTATTTATTATTATCTTAATCAGCTGCAACCATCCATTTTTTTATTGCATTTTAGGTTTGGGGTACATGTGAAGAGCATGCAAGATTGTTGCATAGGTACACACGACTTGCATTCTTAAAAATATTAAACACTGAAGTTTTTCTATTGACTAAAGAAGATGTTATGTATATAACAGATGTAGCATTGTCTGTTTTATGTTTATATGTATTTCAAGGAGATGGTTTTGAAAAATGTATAAACTGATTTGGACAATAATTTTTGCCTCTGTTTGGACAATAATTTTTGCCTCTTTTGAGGATTTCCAAGTATTTCTATTTTGAGACATAACAGAAAAGATTTGAGAATGTCTGTTGGGAGTAAAGAAATGGCTAAGGCTCCAAAGAAAGAAAAAGTCCAAAGTATACCAACTGGTGCAATCAGTAAAATGCCAGTGGTAATATTTTTCTTCCCCTTGGTGGAGCGCCTCGATCTAAATAGAATTTGTAGATAGATCCTTCTCAGGCAATGAGGAACAGAAAAAAAAAATCAATGTGATATCACTGTTAAATTCATTCACTGGTCCATTAAACACCTTTGGTTCACTATCCTGATTTTCTTAAAGTGAGATAGAATTTTGAATGCAACAATGTCTGAAGCAAAGGCTAATGTCCTGCTTTGAATCACTCTTTAGTTCTCTTTTTGTAGCAAAATCCTAAAAACTGCTGAAACTAGGAATAGAGCATTGTTACACAAAATCCATTTTTATGTAACTGATTATCGTATTTCAAAGGAATTTTAAAATTCGTGCTTAACATGATTTCTGGTATTTATGGAAAAAATAGAGAATATTTTATTGATCTCATATTATATATGAAATGAACTAAATTTCACATATATTTCATATGGAATGAATTAAATTTACTTATGAAATGAATTACATCTCCCTAAATAGTTGGAAATTGAAAGCAAAACCTAGGAACTACATGTCTGTGGATTCATTAAGAATTACTCATCTTTATGGTTAAAAAAATAATCATTTTTAAGAGCCCTTTGGAACTACAGTTAATATATTATCTCAGGCTATCTGGGAGGAGTTGTTCTTTGTCAAAGAATGAGTCAGAGAGACATTTATTCTTTTGCTCACTGCTCAGTGACTTTGCATGTCAAGTGTTTGCTAATAAGTAAGTAGACAGTTGGTGAACTGAGTCACAGAACAGAGGCAACAACAGGATCAGTAAGTCTGGGAATGGTGAATTTTGTTTGCATATTTTGGGATAAACTGATTAGCTAAGAGCTAGCAGAAGTCATTCTGGGCATTCTGTCCTTGAATGCCCAAGCTTACCAAAGAAAACAATTTTCACTGTTTCTCTGTAGCTTTAACATTAGGATAGGGGATGGGGATGGGTAGCAACAGAGAAGAGGAGGGACTTCTGGGGCTGTTGTGATTTGTATTATGGTTTCTTTCTTACTTGATCTTGAAGCCTGTCTAGGAGAGCCCTGATAGGGTGGGTGGGGGAGATAGTAAGGTTTGGGTGTGTTGGTGAAACAAAAATGCAAGAAGCAGAAGTTTATTGCTCACAGACCCAGAGAGGTTAGGAGCCCGAGGCACTGGGAGGCCCAGGAGGAGTCAGAGGCAGCAGGGAGCTCAACCAGCCTGCGGGACCTGCCTTTATTAAGGCTCAGGGCACTATTCCTTAGCTTTCCCTGGAGATTTAGGGATCCGGGTCATTTAAAGAAAACATGCATAAAGGAGGGAACTCATTTACAGGACTCCGGTGTTGACCATTAGGTTTTTCCACAGCCAGAAGCTGTGGCCTGAGCTGGGTTTGGTGTCAGTGAGAAGAACAAGCAGGCTCTATGGCAAACACCAGAGAGGAGAAGCCTCACTGAGGCCAAGGATGACAGGATTCAGCTGGATTTCAAGCAGCTTATGTCAGGCCTAAAAATGGGTGTCAAGGCTGCAACTCCATGAAGCCTCTGCAGGAACCCCATGGTGCTCCCATTCTTAGTCTGGGGACTAGCCAAAGAGTATAGTGAGTTCACCTTGCATAAATGTGTCTCAAAGCTTGTGATTTGACTCGATTACATTTCTGCATATGTTATATACAAAAGTGTATCTTTTTTTTTTTTTTTTTTTGAGACAGAGTTTCGCTCTTGTTACCCAGGCTGGAGTGCAATGGCGCGATCTCAGCTCACCGCAACCTCCGCCTCCTGGGTTCAAGCAATTCTCCTGCCTCAGCCTCCTGAGTAGCTGGGATTACAGGCACGTGCCACCATGTCCAGCTAATTTTTTGTATTTTTAGTAGAGATGGAGTTTTACCACGTTGACCAGGATGGTCTCGATCTCTTGACCTCGTGATCCACCCGCCTCGGCCTCCCAAAGTGCTGGGATTAGAGGCTTGAGTCAATGCACCTGGCATAAAAGTGTATCTTAAAAAAAAATACAAGGTGGCCAGGCATGGTGGCTCACGCCTATAATCCCAATACTTTGGGAGGTCAAGTGAGAGAATTGCTTAAGCATAGGAGTTCAAGACCAGCCTGGGCAACATAATGACATCCCAATCTCTACAAAAGAAAAAAATTAGCTGGATGTGGTGGCACGCAGTTGTAGTAACAGCTACTCAGGAGGCTGAGGCAGGAGGATTGCTTGAGCCTAGGAGTTCAAGACTGCAGTGAACTACGATTACGCCACTGCACTCCAGCTTGGATGACAGAGACCCTGTCTTAAAAAATAAATAAATAAATGGCATTGCCCACTTCATGGGGACTAGATTGGAAGTTTCTGATGGAAGAAAGACTAAAAAGCACACGAGATGATTTCAAGAGAAAGAGAGCTGGGCTTGAAAAGCAATCAGGTGCAGTGGCTCATGCCTGTAATCCCGGCACTTGGGAGGCCAAAGTGGCTGGATTGCTTGAGCTCAAGAGTTTGAGACCAGTCTGGGCAACGTGGTGAAACCCTTGTCTTATTGAAAAATATAAAAACTTAGCTGGGCATAGTGGTGAGCGCCTGTAGTCCCAGCTACTTAGGAGGGTGAGGCAGGAGGATAGCTTGAGTCCAGGAGGCTGAGGCTACAGCAAGCTGTGATCGTACCTCTGCGCTCCAGCCTGGGCCACAGAGTGAGGCCCTGTCTGAAAAAAAAATAGAAAGAGAGAAGGGAGGAAGGAAGGAGGGAAGGAGGGAAGGGAGGAAGGGAGGGAGGGAGGGAGGGAAGTAAGGAAGGAAGGAAAGAAGGAAGGAGGGAAGGAGGGAGGGAAGGAAGGAGGGAGGGAGGAAGGGAAGGAAGGAGTGAGGGAAGGAAAGAGGGAGGGAAGGAAGGAAGGAGAGAGGGAGGGGAGGAGGAAGGAAAGGAAGGAGGGAGTGAGGGAGAGAGGGAGGGAGGGAGGGAGGGAGAGAAGAAGGGAAGGAAGGGAGGGAGGTCGATCCATCAGGGCCAACAAGCACCGATTTGAGAACAGAGCTGCACCTGCCTCATAGGCAAGTCTTTGTTTTTAACTCCCAATCCCCCTCCTTGATGAGCTGAGATAGAAGGCCCAGCAAGGAGGAAAATTAAAAAAGGATCCAACCACATCTGCCTCACCCACCTCAGCCCTCATGTCCCAGAGCAGACTGCAGGAGAGAGAAGATGTCAACTTTAATAACGTTTGACATTTTGATTACCACACCGACATGTTAATTATCAAAGAGAGATGGTTCCTATGATTGAAAGTAATTGGTGGTCTATTACTTGAAAGTGAACATGAATATAAACAGGAAATCCCCCTATCCTCTACCCCAAATTTAGATTTTTCTTCAGGAGCCAGAATGAATCCACAAAGGAGGTTGCAAAGATTGCTTTCTGCTTGTACCATGGATCAGTTCACTATTACAGCATAACAAACGAATCCTTCATGGCTTAAAACAACCACCATCTATGTATTATTCCTCACCAGTCCATAGTTCACTTGGGTGGCTGGTTCTGCTGTTCTGGGCTGGACTCAACAAATCTCAGCTGGGCTCACTCAGCCCTTCAAGACTCCTGACAGGTGTGTAGGGGGCTGGCTAGTCTAGGATGGCCTCAGCTGTCCTCCCTGTGGTTCCCACATCCCTTCAACAGGCCAATTCATGCATGTTCTTATGGCAGGAGGGAGTCCAAGAGAGTGGATGTGGAAACACACAAGCATGTTTCCACACCTCCTTTTGCATCAAGTGTGGTCTTGTCCCACTGACCAAAGCAAGTCATGTTGCCAAGCCCAGGGTTAGCAAGGTAAGGTACTCCTGATGGGTATGGGTGCAGGCAGGGGTCAAAGAACTGGAGTTGTCAACCACGTCACTCTACCACTTACCTTATCCAGTTCAACTCACTCAAAATAACATCTAAAGCATTATCCCAATAGCTCCGTTCACAAGCGGAAATGACCTGTTCAGGGTCCTCAAGCAGCAGTGAGATCCTGGTCATCTGGAGATTCCACAGTCAATCACCCCCATCAGTTGTGACATTATTACAGCACTGCCCTCCATGCAACCTAACTCGATATGAAACAAATGCATAGAGTTAATATTATTTACTGAATCCGTCATTTGAAACAGGAATAATAATGAGAAACTGTACAGACAGATATCCCCCTAGGGCACACTACTGGTTGCCAATATGGTGAGTACAGAAAGAGGCACATCACATTTCTCTTCACAGTAATAATAGCTGCACCAACATGTATCTTGGAACATAAATATTCACTCGTGATGATGATAAGCCCACTAACATGCTGGCAGCAGACAGATTTTTCAGAAACACATATCTGATTTAAAATGTACAGTAATATATTCCAAAATTAAGTATTTGTCATGTATTTTTTTCTTTTACCAGGTGCTCTTTAACACTTGGAATTGTAGGGGTAGAAAGCTGTGATACCTTTCCTCACCCATCATAAAGGTCATGGCCAACACTCCGGTATCAAAAGAAAAATGAGAA